TCACTGATATATGACTAACCTCACAACTGGAGACATATACTTTATTTTTTACAATGTAAATCCTTGAAAAAAAAAAAACAATTGGTTTCTAGTTGCTGGAGTTCTTCCCCTACTACTCAACTCTGTTCAYACATGTCTTTTGGGGAATAGTCAATCTCAGAAATTACATTGGCTGTCATTTGCATTGCCCCTAACCACCATCAGAGTCTTTATTTTATCTGCAAATAAGTTTTAGTTGTTCTCCWGCCCAGATGTCACTCACTGAACAAATGCCTTTGTTACCTGCTACAAACAGTTTCACTGTGGAATTGGGTAGTCACAGGAGAAAAGTAATTCTGTGTCATTTTTCCTTCATTTTGTTGGGAGTCACATTCTGCAGTCACACACCTACATACCATGTCACGTTGTGCTATAGAAGGAGGAATCTTGAAATGATTCTTCATTTCAAAAGAAAAAAATTTTCATTGCTTTGTTTACAAAGACTTCAAGCAAAACCCTTTCCTCTCCTTTCAGGCTGTATTTTCCACTGAAATCTGACAGGACCAACCAACAGAACGTATTTCCATACCTTTTTCCTTATCTTGCACTTTCACCCCACAAACCCATGCATGTATCCCACTTCTGAATTTCCCTTAAAAGTAGATACAAAATGGTACTCTCCTTTAGTTAAGAACATTGCCCTGAGCATTTCCTGAACAGTGTCAAACTGTGGTATGATGGTCAGCAGTGGTCTCATAATAAACCCAACACAAAGCAAAATGCCAACCCAAGAACATAGCAGAAAAACTGCCCTCACTTCTCCTTGTGGCAATACCTGAGAGAATATATTGGAATATAGGAATACCTGAGAGAATGTATTGGAAAYGTGGATAAGACACTTTGTTTCTGTTTTTGGTTCTCAAGGATTTTCATTCTCACCCAGAATGAAAAGCAGGTAATAAGGAGTATTATTGGATGCTCTGTATAGGTGAAGACATGACACATCCCTTCAAACTGGCTAAATCAAAATGTTGGGAGTTTAATTGATGACTTTTTAGACTAAATCTTGACGACTTGTTCCCTCCTTCAATATTTCTGTTTCATTTTGGACACTGAACTAGATTATTTGAAAAAAGCACATAAGCAGCTAGTAAACTGAGTTAGCAAAAATTGACTACAGCTCTTTCTATGGCTAAATTGAACATTGGATGGTTGGAAAATCAGTATAAGCTGTTCTAAAACCTTCCTTCTTAAAGCTTTCCTAAGCCTAGAGTAACTTTTTTTGACTTTTAATTGGGAGTGTGTAATTTGTTGTAGAGATCATTGATGCATTTGGCATAATCTCAATCAACTTATGCTCAATTTTAAAGCTTTTTTGATATTGCTACATTGAGATTGCGATTTTTATCTTTTAAATTTATTTTAAATCACTATATGGAATGCTTATTCTTTTGGTGATGGTCAATAAAAGCCTTATCCTGTCCTTTCTTTTTACTATCTTGGAGTTTGGGAAATTATTTCTCCTTATTTTTAATTATTAAAAAAATGACAAAATGCTAAATGTAATGGATTGCTATGAGGAAATGCCTAGAAGGAAAAATGTACCTACTGTTTGCATTGCATTCTACATATTTTATGTAGGAAGCCGCAGGTAAAGGTGTGAGTATTGACTCAGCAGAGTTGACGATGACAGAAAGAGCACCATGTGGTGGTCTTTGGATGGTTCTGAATACATTTTTTTCCTCCACAGACAGGCTTTGTGCTTTCAGGACAGTATGGGAGGAAATCCTCATTGTGGGTTTTGTTCTTAAAAATTTTTTAAGTCCATCACAACCCTTCATTCCCAGAGAAGTTTCCAAACTTGTTGAATACTCTTAGAGCTCCTAACTTGGAAAAGATAGAGATTCTTGTTATATTTTTATACCACTGTTGTGCTTTTTCATATGCTAATAATATGTTGAAAGYATTCCTGGAATTGCTGCATTATTGTGATAAAGTTAAGTCACTAGACCTATTCAACTCTACTTACCAGAGACAGAAGAATTCTGATTGTTCAGACTTATAAGCTTCTAATTCATCTCTTAGATGTGATGCCTGAATCAGTATGCCTAATTGATTGGTTTAGCTAAATCAGTAAAACTTTTAATGACCATGTATTCAATTATCAATGATCCCTTTCATGCTCATTTCTTAACTTTACCTACTCATATTAGCTCATCTCCAGTGATGCCAGTGAATTGCCTTGGTTCATTCCTAAGTTCTAAAGCACATCCTGTTGTGACCAAGTAGCAAATGAACATTTATAGTTCAAGGCATGTTACTAACCTAATCATAAAAAGTTAAAAATACTTTTTAATAGTACAAATGCTATTATCTTCTCCCAAAATTTAATTCTCCCTACTTGACCTGTCAAGCCCAGAATAAATTAAAATATGATGCCTAGCAGCATTATTTTCATCAGAACGTATAGTATTCACCTATTGATAAGAATAGCTATTAGCACTCTACATTTAGCTCAGTGATTATGCAGTACCTACTTGTACAATCGTTTAGAGTCAAAATTAAAATCATTCATTGTCTTTGTAGATCTCTCTCAAACTTTAGCTTTCTTAAAATTAAAGAACAGTGTAGATTCATAATAACTAATCTTATTTGCCAAAAAAAGATGCCAGCTAAGCTATTTACTTTTTTTCAAAACGATTTCTTAAAATTTTAAATCACACTATAAGTTTAAAAAGATTAGGCATAGTTTCTTTTTACTTTAGCCTATAGTTAAGACTTTAAAACTCTWCAATTTAGACAAAAGCTACTAATTGTCAGCAATGGCTGATAGCTTATTAGCTGTTGCTGATTAACAAATTGAATTATTGAAATTTAGGTTAATGAACTAAATTTTCTGTGTTCCCAATTTCCTCATTTTGTTTAACATTTTAGTTTTTTTATTGACCACTATCTYGGGACCACTTTGGAAGAAAACAGATAATGAATAAACAGGCAAAAGTATATTGCAACCAAAATATACTGTTTATTGACTTTTATATTTTAATAAAATGGTGTTGTTTTGACCATTTGGATCCAGGGTCTTTATAAGTACATATTTCTTTTAAAGTCATATAACAAATACTTAAGTGAATGAAAACAGTTGATATAAATTATAATGATACCTGTTTATCTTTGGCAAATACTAAGATGAGAATTATACTGTTTAATTCAGTTCTCTTTTGACATGATGTGAAGTCACCTATTTCATATGAGATCTATGTGTGCTTTTAAAATGTGCTAATCCTAAATAGCATCAACCCACAAACCCATACTATGGAGAAAACTTAAGACCCAAAAAGGGCCAGTAAATATTTTGAGTCCTCCAAGATGGTTCATATTCTGCCCAAAGGCTGTTTCCATCTCTATAAAATATCTAATGAGGTTCTATTCATTCTGCAAAGGATGATAAAGCATTGCAGAATGGTTTTGTCCCAGATGTGCTGTGAATAAGAAGCCTGAAAGCTGATCAAAGTCCACTAGAGGCATCATATTTGTTWTAAAGCAGTCAATATGAATCGTACACAAGTTACTAGTGAAGTAGTAGTTATTTTATGAAAGTTATGAGGCAAGGATGGAATCTTCCCAAGTATGCCAACAAAATGCAATTGAACAGATACTATTGCATAAAAGAAGTCTGCTTTGGGCTGATTTTGCATAATATAAGCGTTTAACATATGCCCATACAGCCAGTTGTTTACCAGATAGAAATGTTCCATTCAGTTTTGCAGTTGGTTGCTGAAGGCCTGAGGCAGGAGCCCTCCATACTTGGTGAGGCTGAGAGAAGGCAGGTGCAGGACTAGTTCATTGTGCTCCTAAGCCTTGAGTCCATGTGGGTCTCTGCAAGTTCTCAAGAGGCCTGAGCTGTTATTCTCTCTACCATATTCTCCCTTTTACTTCTTAGGATTAATGATTAATTAATTTGATTCAACAACAAATCCAGATTCCACAGATTTCTTCAAATTGCTCATCACTTATGTCAGACAAAAAAGAAAGACAAATGGACTAAGCATGGTAGCAGTCATTAGAATCCCTGTGGCACTGGAGACTGAGGCAGGAGGATCGTGAGTTCAGAGGCAGCCTCATCAACTTARTGAGGCCTTAAGCAACTCATCAGACCTGACTCTAAATAAAAACTTTAAAAGGGCTGGAAATGTGGCTCCAAGGTTAAGCGCTCCTGGGTTCAACCTCCAGTCCCCCCAAAAAGGAAAAGAAAGACCTATGGCCTTAATCCTCCTAGAAAAGATAACTTCCATTTTCTTGAATTTTCAAACTGCTTTTTCTCAAATTCAGAATTTTTTTAATTTGATAAATACTTCCTGTTTATCATTTTCAGCTCTGGAAAGACATGATAATACAACACTTTTTGCTTTCTTAGTGTGGTCAGTGGCCCCTTTAAAAACCAGTATTTTCATAAACCTTCTAAGATGGTGTAGATAATAAAAGATTCAGGATTGGCCAAATGTGAATATCTTCCTCATCTATTTTTCTCCTTTGTTTTCAATAATGATTTTCTTATTAAATTTAATTGATAAAGTTATTCTTTTAGTTTTCCATTTCTGTGAAATCATTTTTCCCTACCTAATGGAAGTCGGTATATATGCCAACTTCCTTTTTCTATATTCCTGCTATTACATAGTTGTGATTCATATATTCCAATATACTAATATAAACCTATCTTTGTGTAGGTAWTYTTAACAATGCAAAAGTGTTAAGAGCTGTTCMTTTCAGTAACTGCAGATAGATTTATGATATTTACTATTAAATTAAACTCTGTAGTCCTCACAYGAGATGAAATGAGAAAAGTCATGGTGATTCTTCTGTGACTGTTGTATCTATTCCTTCTAAGTTGGACAGTTATTTTTTTATATTTTTAAAATTATTGCTAATGGAGGGTAAATAGAAAACCTTCAAACTAAGTCAACTTGTAATGATTTTTAATAGCTTTGGGTTTATAATTATATGTTATGCTTTATTTGCAGGAGCGTGTTAATACATTAGAAACGGTAAGTTGGGGGCATTTTCTTTCTTCTTGTATCAGAATTACTGCTGTCCCCCAATGTGGATTTCAAAGAAAACCAAAGGAAGCAGTTCCTGAAAACATTTCTARAACTACATCTAAGATTCAAAGGGAAAATGAGCTAAACTGTATCTAAAAGGTATGTAAAAATAGATGTTTTTAAATGGAAACAAAAATGTGGGCACATTTAAGTGCTCACTGCTCACTCAGGACTGATATGCCAAGAAGTACTAATTTATCGAAAATGTAATAGGTTTAAATGTAATCAATATCTTGTGTGTTTGCTTTTGTATTTCACAATCACTACAAAGATTGGTTGATGAGAAACAGATCAGGATGCTATTTATACTTTGAAGTTCAGGTTTTAAACATTTTTTTTTCATTATTTTCACCCGATCATTCTTTTTCTGAATAGTCTTGTATATAAGAATCTAGTATTGGAAATTATTTTTTTAGTGCATAGGTGTAAAGACTGCATGCTTGCACTATTTATTGGAAAATTATTATTGTTATTGTCACCATCATCGTTATTATTGTTTTGGTACTGGGGATTGAATTCAGGGGCACTAGAACACTGAGCCACATCCCCAGCCCTATTTTGTACTTTATTTAGAGACAGGGTCTCACTGAGTTGTTTGGCGCCTCACTGTGGCTGAGGCTGTCTTTGAACTCTCAATTCTCTTGTCTCAGCCTCCCAAGCCGCTGGGATTATAAGCATCCACCACTGTGCCTGGTTTAGAAAGTTATTTTTAACTTAAAAAAAGAGAAATCCATTTATTGTTTATCAGTGAAGTAATAAAGTATGGAATTTCTATTCAATATACCATAGTTGTTATAATAGGTGAAATGTGATATTAAGTGAAAACTAATTCAAAATACAGAATCATATGTACTTTAATAATAACAACCTACAGGCATATTTTAAAATAAGAACTAAAGAGAGTAAACTAAGTTCATAGCAGTGATTTGTTAGAAAGAATTATAGGTTGTGATTTGATTGCTTTCTGGTTTTCATGTTTTATAATGTATGACAGTTTTACTTTCTGTAAGCATTTTTACAAGAATAACCATGTGTATTAGAAGAACAGTAAAAATAAATGATGGATCTACCTTGTGAAATATTATATAGCTGTGAAAAGTAATATTTTCCAAAATGTAAAGATAACCATGCTGTAATGTGGGAGAAAGCCAGGAGGACATGTAAAAAAGCGTGATGCAAGTACTGAATATGCATATTTGTGCATTAAACTCTTTTTAAGAAAGTACATAAAATATTGATTGTCTTGGGAGTAGTAGTAGAGGTTTTTTACATATTTTTAATGAGTAAAAAATGTTTAAAGTAAAAAATTCTTTAAACAATAAGGCTAATAAATATTTATTTTGTAAATATGAGGAATGAAAAGATGCTAATAGGGAACATTTTAGTAAAAAGTGTAAGCAAGTGAGTTTGATTGATACTTTCTAGACTAGTAAGTAAATAACTTCTCCCTTAGATTTATCTGGGCCATTTGGAAAGTACACTCACCTTCTCAGTTTCAATATGATGACTTTGTAGGTGAATAAAATGGCTGGTGTTCCTTCACATATATTTTACTTACTCTTAGGATGGCTTGCCAACAGAATTTAGCTTGTGACTTAAATGTTCTTTTGGAAAACCATGAAAAAAAATCAAAAATTTTGAGTTTGAGGACCTGAATTGAGGGTACAAAAAATCCTTTTGTATACATTCAGAAAATTATATTTTTCTCTGTAAAAATGGCTTAAAATTATTTTATCATGTGAGAATTAAAAGAGAAAATATATGTGAAAATATTTAGGACCAAAGAAATGTTAGGTTACTATTATTATGTCATTGGTCACTGCTTGTTATTTAACCAGTGTGATATCTGAAACTAAAAATTATATCAACAACAAAAAGCATATAATTTTTATTTATATTTGTCAGTCTTTTTTTAGTTATCTAATCTCTTCACTAACCAAATATTATGCATAGAATCTTTAATGCCTTATTCTAAGAGTTCCCTTAGGAGCAAAGGTAAAAATTTAAAGTCATCATGAGAAAAATAAAATTGATTAAATGAACTAGGTTTTTTACAGTAGTCRTTTTCTCAAGATAGTTTTAATTTGAAATAATTATCCTAAGTAAAACCATAAAATTAGAATGCTCAGTAATAATGTTAATGCTCAAATATTATGAAGTCCTTTGGCTTCATATGGCATTATGAGAAGCAGAATTTAATTCACTTGGTAGGCAATTCAAATGGTAAAGATATTTTATAGTTTATAAAATCAACTATGCTGAAAGTGATCTCAAGACCATTTATTGTTCTCTTACAACTCAGTGCATAAACCACAGTGAAGCATTGGCAGTCCACATTTGGTATGTACTAAGGCCACACACCGTGTTTCATCTAGAGTCTACATGATGGTGATACAAGTCAGTCAAAGCTTGAAATTTCTTCATTCCCTAGGAGTGTTTACAATAGATTGATTGTAAAGGTTCTGATAGCTATAATAACTGCAAATAGGATGTTCTTTTCATCATAATGAGAAACTCAATCTGACTTGCCACCAGTTATCTCTTTGCATAGATCACRATTGTGTCCATTTTTCTCCTTCAGTAGCAGCTAAGCTATTTGGATTAGAAATTACTTCTTATTTGCAAATAAATCCTCAAGCTCTGTCAAAAAAAAAACCTGAGATAAGTGGACATTCAATAAACATTTGTAKAATGAAGAAATGTTGAACTCAGCATACTTAACAACATGGGTGTAAATAGCATCAGTCCCATCAGAGTGGGGGAAAAAAATTCCCCAGAAGTACATCAATTTATTCTTTATCATCTGTCTTTTGGTTAGTATTATACACTATTTGGAGTTTCACAGGAACTCTAATCACTTTTACGAGAGTCTAATATGAACTTTTCTAGGAAGGAACTACCTGYAGCCAATATATAGCAGGTAGATCCCCCAGGTAAGGCTAAGATAATTACCTGGAGGAAAATCCTGATTGAGAGTCTCAACTCATGGACAGTGGATGGGACTGGGCAGTGGATATTTACTGGGCAGTATATAAAATTGTGTGTTGACACYAGGAGGAGAAAAAATAGACTTGTGATCTGTGCCTTCGTGGAATTTTCACTCAGAAACACAAGAGAAGTCACTTACTTAAAAATAAGTTAGTCATATGAGATAGAAATGCTCTATATAAAGCTAACGAATGAAACAGATAATACATGTTGTAGGAGCTATTGTAAAAAAATAGAAAGGAATTTGAGGCATTGTGATCCAAGTTCATAATGAAATTCATAGGTTCTTTAGTGTGGGGATATGATGAGTTTAGGTTTATCCCTGAAATACAAAGAAACAGATTGGTGTCAGGTAGAAAGAACCAGAGAGGGAATGTGTGCAAAGTTGGGAATGTATGCAAAGTTTAAAGGCAGTAATGAACCAAAGGGCTTGTTAGAATAATATTTTTAAAACAGGTRAAATAATTATTCTTGTATAATTATAAAATGAACTGATAAGTATATATATTTAAGTTACTGAGAAATGTAATGAATAGAATTTTACAACTGACTTTAAGGGACATTCAAAAGACTACACTATATGACACTGAAGTGCTGAACTGAATGTAAATAGAAGTAAGGTTTTTTTTCTTTGATGGTGGAAAAGGGAAATCAATTGAAAATCACCAGACAAGATTTATTGTCTATGAACAAAAATCATTTGCATTTCCATCAGTTATCTACATGTCAGAGTTATAAATAACTGAAAGCCAGGTACAGAGATCTCATAGAATCAGAAAWCCCAGAAGGATGTACTACCCAAAAATGAATTTTCTATTGAAGATATCCGGTAAGTTTCCRTGTTATTTCAAAGCCTTACCAATTTCCCCCTCTTATGGATTCATAGGACAGTTTGTGAGAGCAATAAGTGGTATTCTGGAGTTTTGAAATACAAACCAAGGAGTTTAGACTTYATTTTATGGAAAGGAAATAGATTTCTCTGGAGGATTGGTTTCTTTTGTTCAGAACTGGCTCCTGAAACACTGCTGGGAAGGATTCTGGCTACCTTTCGGAAAGAGGGCTGTGGTCACTTTACATTCTCTGTCATCTGCATTGCAACATTGGGGGGTGAAATGTGGTAGCACAGCCACTGAGCCAGTAGAGAGCCAKTGATGGTTTTAGTTCGGGGGCTGTGGTATGACAAATGTGCTGCAAAGAGACATAAATGTAATAGCAGTATGCAGGACCGAGCCGAGGGGTGCGAGACTCCACAAGTGCGCATCGGGAAAGAGCGGCTTGGAGGAAATCCTACTTTAGACATGTGCTTGGAAAATTAGGGGTAGAGGCACTCTGGTGCCAGAAAGAAAGGGCCCAGGAGATGTCATTATTTAGTGGAAGGAACTTGTAAATGGGAGGTCCAGAGAGAMAAGGAAACACAGACACTCTAGTATGAAGTGAAAGTGGATGCAAGCAATTGAAGTTGAAGTTATAAATACAGTTTTTCTTATCTCCTCTCAAATCTCACTTTATTTTCATTTCCATTAAGATGGGAATTTATTTTCTATTTTTTTTGTGTGTGTTAAGTTAGGCATGATAGTAACCCCAAAATAGAGAAACTCRAAAATAATAGGGGGTAAGTAAGATATAAATGATTTCTCTCATGATCAACCCAAACATAAATGATCCATGGCAAGTATCACATACAATGTCACTATCATATCAGAGAACCAGGCCGTTTTTGTTCTCAATATTTGTTTCCTCCTCATGAGTCAATGCCTGCCACCTCTGSCGTTTATATTTGCAATATTAACTAAAGAAAAGAAAGAAACAGAGCACATGCAATTTCCCCTTAGTGGAAGCCAGATGTTACATATGGATTTCTGTTCTTATCCCTGGGCCATGATTTTGTGACATACTCATATCCAGCTCTAAGATTCAAAAAGATAACCAAATGAGGCCCTGGGATTGTGGCTCAGCAG